TCACTGATTGAATAAAATATCCGTGGCAGATGCATACTCCCTGCCACGGATGGACGATTCGTTGGACGCCTTGTCGGGGGCAAATTTTTTTTCTACTCTCGACCTGTCATCAGGTTTTTGGCAGCTCCCCCTCGATGACGGGTCCAGACTGAAAACGGCGTTCCGCACGCTGCAAGGCTTGTTTGAATTGAACCACCTACCCATGGGCTTGAATGCCGCACCGGCGACGTTCCAACGTCTGATGGAACTGATACTAGCAGGGCTGCAGTGGGAAACGTGCCTCATATATTTGGACGATATCATTGTAATCAGTCGCACCTTCGAAGAACACCTTCAACGGCTGGAGGTTGTCTTTCAGAGGATGCGATCGGCTGACCTCAAATTTAAACCAAAAAAATGCCATCTATTGCAAAGTTCTGTCCGTTACCTCGGATACATCGTCAGCTCTGACAGTGTGTCGACTGACCCTCACAAAACGTCATGTGTTCGTGAGTGGCCGACGCCCACTTCAGTGGGCGACGTGCGGCGGTTCACAGGCTTCGCATCCTACTATCGCCGGTTTGTTAAGAATTTCGCGACACTGGCAAAGCCTCTGCATGTCCTGACGGGAAAGAATCAAAGATTTAAATGGGGCCCGGAAGAAGAACGTGATTTTCAGTCTCTCCGGAATCGCTTGGCCACCGCTCCAACACTCGACTACCCAGATTTTTCCCAGCCATTCATCCTGGACACGGATGCTAGCGACATCAGCATCGGGGCCGTTTTGTCGCAACGGAAAGACGGGGTTGAGCGAGTGGTGGCGTACGGCAGCAGGGTTTTCTCTCCTGCCGTAACGCGCTATTGCGTGACTCGCCGGGAATAGCTGGCGTTCGTCCATTTTGTTCGCCAGTACCGGCCGTTCCTGTATGGGAGTAAATTCCTTGTGCGCACTGACCATGCTGCCTTGCAATACTCATTAAAATTGGAACAACCGTCCAGTCAATTGACTCGATGGTTGGAATTGTTGCAGGAATTTTCCTTCGATATCACATACCGCAAAGGTACTCACCACGGCAATGCAGACGCTCTTTCCAGATTGCCCTTGACCCCTCCCTGTGCCTGTCTGACGGGTACGCACTGCTGTGCAGCGCTGCCTACCCCGCCCTGTCCAGTTATGGGTGCGATGTCGAAGGATGACGTCCGGTATACACCCGTTGGGGCCGACGGCACGCTGCATTTGCCACACTCGGTGTGGCTGCGCGAACAAAGGGCTGATGCCTCTTTGGCTCCACTGCGGGATCTGGTTGGGAAACCGAGATCTCACTTGTCGGGGTGGAAATGGCAGTTGTTTACTGACCAGGCAGGGTTGCTGATGTGTACGGATGGGTTGTTCAGACCGTTCATGCCTGGTTGTGCCGTCATGCCTTCGCCATGATCTGATCCACACGCTGCACGCCGACAAGCTGATGCATCTCGGCGTGCAGAAGACATTGCTCGCGATGCAGCAAGATTTCTTTTGGCTGGGCATGACGGCAGATATCACCAGCTTTATCCTGTCATGCCAAGATTGTGCGAGGCAGAAACCACCACGCCAAAATGACGTTCTGCCCTTGCGATCGATCGAGGTATCTCGTATTAATGAGCTAGTTGCTCTAGATATCCTCGGCCCGTTCCCTCCGTCGGCTAGGGGCAATAAGTACCTCTTGGTCGGGGTCGAATATTTTTCTCGTTGGCCTATGGCCTGGCCTCTATCCGACCAATCGGTCTCATCCATCACCGAGGCTTTCCTAAATGGATATGTGATGGATAAGGGAGCACCTGAGAAGTTGCTCACAGATCAAGGATGTAACTTCTCCTCTAAAAAGCTCCGAGACGTGTGCGCTGCTTTGGGTATGAAGAAAAGCCGCACTTACCCTTACCACCCACAGACGGATGGCATGGTGGAATGATTTAACCGCACCCTTTTGGCCATGCTTTGTCACACGATGAGCGAAAAGCAGACCGATTGGGACTTGCACATACCTGGCGTCTTATGGTCCCGCACGCGTCCATTTTTTCTTATGTATGGCCGGGAAAACGTGCCCCCGATTGATGTGCAACTTGGTGCGACGGGAAAAGAACCGTCCCCTTCCTTGCCCGACCACGTGTGGGACTCGCTTCGACGGGTTACGGAGGCGCGGGAGGCCGCCAGGAGTGCAACGGCCCGTACGCAGGCACGGAACGAGAGGTACACGCGTCGATCGCGACGTGACATGCCTTGGTTGGTGGGCGATGTAGCGTGGCTCCATTGCCCTCAGGTGCCTGTGGGTACGTCCCCTAAACTGCACAGGCCTTGGCGGGGGGGCCTGTGAGGTTAATGGAAGTTCGGAATCCCCAGAGTGTTCGCATCCAGTACGGACGTCTTTGGTATGTTCACTCGTCGCGTCTCAAACCTTATTTTGATCCACACACTGGCCCTTCATCCCCACTTGTTGACCTGCCGGGGTCTGACATGCCGGATGTGCCGGATGTGCCACTTGCCTCGCCAATTGATCCCCAGCGGGGTCGTGTTCTACCCCCCGCAGACACACAGGTCCTAAAGAACATCGAGGCCCCGGACGACCAACCTCCAGCGGGGCCTGTTCCATCTACGGAGGACACTAAAAACCACTCCTTCTCCGCTGCAACAGTCGGCGAGGCAACCACGCTCAATGGAGGGAAAGGGACCGGCGTCGCGTACGCGATCAAAGTCCCTCCCGTTTCGCTAACACTGTTGCCATTGCTGTCTGTCGCCCTGTTGTTACCGCACTACAGGGGCACCTTAATGTTATGTCGTTCTTTCATCACACATCGTTTCGTGCCCTAAGATGTTTTAATTCAACTGCGCATTGTTTAGCGCCCTACTCCCCTTACCTTGTTACGCGTCATGGACGCCCTAAACATTATGCACAGGAAGTTGCCCATCACCCTTTTTCCCAGCCGAGACGTCTGGCTTTTTACACGGGGGGGGGGGGGGGGGTGATGTAATGTGAGGGTACACCTGGGTGATTAAGTGGTCACACCTCATTGAACAGGACCCTGCGGGGTGGGCTGGTAGGAACAAATAACCAAAGAATATAAGCATAATGTATTATTACACTTGTTTAGCCAGGAAAGCCCCACTGAGTCTAAAGGTTTTTGTAGGGTCCTGCCAAGTGTTTGCAGTAGGGGGCGATGTTGCTACACCGAATCCGACGATACGAAAGGAGAGTGTGAGGTCTAGGCTTTAGGCCTAGCAGTAGGCGTTATGCCGCTGTGAGTTAATTGTTAATTTAAATGTTTTAATTAAAAGCTATCTCAGGGAATTATAAGGGAATGTTGCACTTGTTTCGCCAGGAAAGCCTCATTAATTTAAATGAATTAAAAGCTATCTGAGGGAATTATAAGGGAATGTTACACTTGTTTAGCCAGGAAAGCGTCACTGAGTCTAAAGGTTTTTGTAGGGTCATGCCAAGTGTTTGCAGTAGGGGGCGATGTTGCTACATGGACGGACGGACATCGGACGGACGGACGGACGATATAATCTATTGTAGGCTGGTCCACTTCGTTCCTACCAGTATAATGATTGACTCTACCGGTCCAGGCCCATAACCAATGGGGAGAGGAGTAGGGGTGTGGCCCTGACGTAATGTGAAGGTTACACCTGAAAGGAGATGATTGGCTCTGCTGGCTTCAGCCACAGCCAATGGGGGGACGAGTTAGAGGCATGGTCCTGGGACCGTAGGATGGGATCTGTAAGATTCCAGGGAGGTTACCCAGGACTGGCTGAGAGGCACCACGTGACCCAGAGATTAAAAGGGGTGGAGACGGGCAACACGTGGTGAGAGCTGGAACGAATGAAGGGGGAAGCCACGCGGGAGCTCGGGGTCCAGAGCCTGCCACGTGGCCGTGACAGTCATCTCTCTCACTCTCTATCCCTCCCTCTCACGCTGTCTGCCAACAGCGTGAAGGAGCCAGATAGCAGAGGAGCCCGTACGATGAGAGCTGTGGAAGAAAACTAATAAACAACACTGATTCCAGAAGTTGCCTCCGTGACCATTATTACACTAGTACAGTACACTACACTACTATTCACTACACTACTATACACTACACTACTATACACTACACTACTATACACTACACGATTATACACTACTATACTATACATTACACTACTCTCGGCTACACCGCATCGTCATCATCATCGTGCGGCGCATTCAGATGCGCTGCTTCGGTGGCCATCTGAAACGCTCTTCCCTTCCGAAGCCACTGGAATCTGTGCCAGAGTATGGCTGCAACTTGACGAGAACCCATGGGTAGCAGGGAGTGAGATGGAACAGATGGAGATTACTCCAGACGGGTATGAGGGAGTGAGATGGAACAGATGGAGATTAGTCCACTCACGGGTAACAGGGAGTGAGATGGAACAGATGGAGATTAGTCCACACATGGGCAACAGGGAGTGAGATGGAACAGATGGAAATTAGTCCACACACATTTGTAGCAGGGAGTGAGATGGAACAGATGGAGTTTAGTCCACACATGGGAAGGAGGGAGTGAGATGGAACAGATGGAGATTAGTCCACCCACTCTGCTGTACCGCCATATGCTGGCAGAGCCAGCTGGGATGTTGCAATTTCCCCATGATCTCACTTCTGAATCCGCCACTTCCCAAAACCAACCACTTCCTCTGTCACTCGACCTGGCCCTCCAGTCCAGCGAAGGGCATTCGGCATGACTCATGAGAAGATTGCCTCTGTGAATTTCCACTCGGTTGAGCTATTGTTTTGCAATGGCCAGGTCGCTTGTCTGGGTCTCTGTGTCGTGTTGAGTCTATGGATCTCTGTATGGTGAGTCTGTGGGTCTTTGTGTGATGAGTATGTGGGTCTCTGTGTGATGAGTTTTTCGGTCTTTGTGTGGTAATGAGACATCACTCATGAGCGCTGCACAGATGGGTCGGACAAACCACTGACACCTCTCAATGCAATTCACAACATTCGTTTCAGTCACCAGCAGTTTAATCAGGAGGTTCACATTCGTAACAATTTAATCTTTAAAGAGCGGATTAGAGGTTTTGTGCGTGTGTCTCTCTCTCTGCGGCTGCCTCCTCCACGTAACTCACTGCTTGCCTGGATATATCAGCTGCTCATCACGGTCCCACAGACCTGGAGGCAGGGAACTAGTCCCGACACTCCCGCTGCCATTGCTTCCACTACGTGAGGCCCAGGCCGTGTCACGTGACCGCGCGATGACCACGACGATGAAGGCCACGTAGAAGCCCACAATGCACAGCACCACGGCGCCTGCGAGCCACGCGGTGGCGTTGAAAATGGCGGCGGCGCGTGCCACCCGGTGCGCACCGCGGGTGTCGCCCACGTGACGTCGATCCCTCGCCTGGGGGAGGGGCGGAGGGGTTGGGGTCATGACGTGGTTAGATCCCGTGACTTTATTCTCTGCACCCCGAGAGTGCACACACCACGCACACACACCCACACCACACACACATCCAAACCACACACACCCCTCACACACCCCTAACACACCACACCCCTCACGCACACTCCACACACACACTCCCACACACTACACACACCGCACACACACCGCACACACACAACACACACTCCACACACCTTACACACACACACCCCACACGCACACCACATACCCCCCTCACACACACCTCACACACTCCACACAAACCTCACACGCACCCCACACACGCACACCCCACACGCACACCCCACAACCACACACCCCACACAGACACCCCTCACACACACCCCACATACCTCTCACACAGACCCCACACACCCCTCACACACCACAGACACACACCCCACACACCGCCACACTACACACACTCCACACACGCACACCACACACACCACACACACCCCACACACACCATACACCCCACACACACCCCCCACACAACCCCCCCACACCTCACACACCCCACAACACGTGCCCGTCACCTTGATTGAAAGCACCGTGGCTACGACTCCCAGGCAGAGGCAGTTGCAGTAGACGAGGCTGAAGAGAGACACCGCCAGCAGGTCCCTGACTCGCTCCGTCCCCAACGTCGCCGCTTCGACGTCCGTGTCACCCCCACCCCCCCCTTTGTCGGCGGCGACTCGCGAGTTAAGGGGCCCCTCGGAGGGGGGGGCGGAGGGGGTGGAGGGGGAGCCCCCCACCACTCTCGACTTGGGCGGTCGCGATGTGGGGCGAGAGACGTCGAGACCCATGGCGGCGTCTTCTCCAGCAGTAGTGTACTAGTGTATTGTAGAGTAGTCGTGTTCGTGTATAGTGTGGTAGTATAGTGTATAGTGTAAAGTAGGCGTGTGCAGTGTAGTGTCTAGTGTAATTTTTAGTGTATTGTATAATGTAGTGTAGAGTAGCGGTGTATTGTAGAGTAGTGGCGTAGTGTAGAGTTGTGATGTATAGTGTGGTGTATATTGTGAGGTGTATAATGTGTAGCAGTGTGGTGTGTAGTGTGGTGTATGTTGCGCAGTGTATGGTAGTGTAGTGTATCGTGTATTGTATGAACTTCTAATGGCACCGGACGTATCCAACCGTGCTGATCAGAGGTGCGGGCGTAGGACGACGGCACTGACGTGGATGGTGAGCCAGGTACTGACACGGGACGATGCGAGAGAGATGTGGTGAGCGTGGGTGGTAGTTAGCGTGCTGAAATGGGGAACTCTGTTTCTTAACGGACATGCGTGCGCACGTTTAGGTCGACTCGGCCTGAAATCGCGAGCCGGTGCGCCGGTGGGTGGAAGAAACGACAAAAAGTCGCCACTCGGGGAGAGAAAAAGGCGGCCGGGCGGGCGTGGTGGTGCCGGGCGGGCGTGGTGGTGCTGGGCACCCACCTGCCTGTGTGTGTGCCACAGTGGCGGCCGTCATCGGCGGTGCTGCTGCTGCTATTCGCAGCTTACAGCACTTACCCCGACATCCCTTTTACAGGCTACACGGGGGACCTTTGATGTTGTGGGTGAGTGGGTGAGTGAGTGGGTGGGTGATTGAGTAAGTGGGTGGGTGATTGAGCAAGTGGGTGGGTTGGTGGGTGATTGAGTGAGTGGTTGATTAAGTGAGTGCGTGACTGGATGAGTAATTGGGTGAGTGAGTGGATGAGTTGTTGATTAAGTGGGTGAGTGACTGGGTGAGTGAGTGGGTGAGTGAGTGGGTGATTGAGTGGGTGAGCGGGTGGATGAGTGGTTGATTAGGAGGGTGAGTGAGTGACTGGGTGAGTGGGTGATTGAGTGAGTGAATGGGTGGTTGCATCAGTGAGTAGTTGATTAAGTTAGTGAGTGACTGGATGAGTGAGTTAGTGGGTGAGTGAGTTAGTGGGTGAGTGAGTGACTGGATGAAGGAGTGGCAGGGTGAGTGGGTGAGTGACTGGGTTAGTGAGTGGGTGGATGAGCGAGTGAGTTAGTAGGTGAGTGGGTGAGTGAGTGAGTAATTGAGTGGTTGGGTGGATGAGTGGTTGATTAAGTGGGTGAGTGAATGGGTGAGTGAGTGGGTGAGTGAGTGAGGGGATGAGTGGTTGATTAAGTGGGTGGGTGAGTGAGTGACTGGTTGAGTGAGTGGGTAATTGAGTGTTTAAGTGGGTGAGTGAGTGGTTGGGTGGATGAGTGGATGATTAAGCGAGTGAGTGAATGGGTCGTTGGATCAGTGAGTCGTTGATTAAGTTTGTGAGTGAGTAACTGGATGAGTGAGTGAGTGGGTGAGTGGGTGGATGAGTGAGTGAGTGGGTGAGTGGGTGAGTGGGTGAGTGAGGGAGTGAGTGAGTGGTTGAGTAAGTAAGAGGGTGGGTGAGTGAGTGAGTGCATGATTGAGTGGGTAGGTGCGTGGGTGAGTGAGTGAGTGGGACAGTGAGGGAGTGAGAAAGTGAGTGGGTGGATCGATGAGTTAATACATGTGTAAGTGAGCGGGTGAGTGGCGGAGTGAGTGATTTATTAAGTGGGTGGGTGAGTGAGTGACTGGTTGAGTGAGTGCGTGATTGAGTTTTTAAGTGGGTGAGTGAGTGAGTGGTTGGGTGGATGATTAAGTGGGTGAGTGAGTGACTGGATGAGTAATTGGGTGATTGAGTGAGTGAGTGAGTGGAGGAGTTGTTTATTAAGTGGGTGAGTGACTGGGTTAGTGAGGTGGGTGAGCGGGTGGATGAGTGGTTGATTAGGAGGGTGAATGAGTGACTGGGTGAGTGATTGAGTGAATCGGTGGTTGCATCAGTGAGTAGTTGATTAAGTTAGTGAGTGACTGGATGAGTGAGTTAGTGGGTGAATGAGTTAGTGGGTGAGTGAGTGGTTGGGTGGATGATTAAGTGGGTGAGTGAGTGAGTGCCTGGGTGAGTAAGTGACTGGGTTAGTGAGTGGGTGATGAGTGGTGAGTGGGTGGTTGGATCAGTGAGAAGTTGATCAAGTTTGTGAGTGAGTGACTGGATGAGTGAGTGAGTGGGTGATGAGTGAGGGAGTGAGTGGTTGAGTAAGTCAGAGGGTGGGTGAGTGAGTGGGTAAGCGGGGGAGTGAGTGATTTATTAAGTGAGTGGATGAGTGAGTGACTGGTTGAGTGAGTACGTGATTGAGTTTTTTAAGTGGGTGAGTGAGTGAGTGGTTGGGTGGATGATTAAGTGGGTGAGTGAGTGACTGGGTGAGTGAGTGAGTGAATGGGTGGTTGGATCAGTGAGAAGTTGATTACGTTTGTGAGTGAGTGACTGGATGAGTGAGTGAGTGGGTGATGAGTGAGTGAGTGGGTGAGTGGGAGAGTGAGGGAGTGAGAAAGTGAGTGGGTGGGTAGATGAGTGAGTAAGTGGATGAGTGAGTGAGTGGGTGAGTGAATTAGTGGCTGAGTGAGTGACTGCCTGAGTCAGTGGCTGAGTGGCTACGTCACGTGCCGCTGGCACTCGGAGATACGAGTCTGTGGCACACACGCAAAAGAAGAGACATGGGGATGCATTAGGGCGACCTCGGTATATAGCAGGTTGTAGGTTCGATCCTGATCCTGATGCCCGTTGTATATTTGGAGTTTGTATGTTTATCTCACTCTCTCCTTCGTCATGTAGATTTTTTCCGGCCCCTCCTGTTTATACTCCACACTTGGAAATAGGCATTTAGAGTTATTGGCTGCTATAGATTTGCACGTAATAATACACTTAATTGGGCTATCATTTGTGGCCAGGTCATTTCTGAAAAAGAGCTATATATCTCAGTGGGCATTATCTGGTAAAGTAAATGTGATGCCACCGCCACGAAGCCGCTCGGCGGGCGCCCCATCCCCGACCTCGCCACCACCAAGTGACGGAGCCGACCCCGGCGTCTCCCCACCTCACCTCACATGAACACACCCGCACGCATTTCCCCCCCCCCCCCCCCCCCCCATAGAGCTCCGAGGGGAAGTCACCTGGCCGACCGGTTTTAATCCGAGAAGCCCTTATCGGGATAACTTTCACGGTTTCCGGTGACCAGGGAATTGGACGACCTCCCCCGATGCTACTTCGCGGCGCTGCGACCAGCATTAAGATTGCAAGGTCGCAGCGAGGGGCCACTCGGCCACTGCGGTTGAAACGCACCCCCCACACCCACACACGCATCGACGAGGCAGGCAGGGAAGGGACGGGACGGCATAATTAGCATGACAACAGGGGCTCTTGCACGTAGTCGCTGATGGTTAGGATAATTACGCTCGAGCGCGTAGGCGCCATTATTAAGGAAATTAGGAAAATTAAAGGGTAAAGCTGGAATTGCAAATAATCAAAGAGGCGACTCGGGCGCATAGTGCGCAATTGATGGGGCAAGTGGTGGAGACATGCGGAGGCTCCGCGCTTAACTTCCACAGCAGGCCTTGGTGATGGACGCCGCCGCATAATTTGCATAACCAAGGCACCATGCATGAGAAAGGGATTAATTAGAATAAACGCCGCAACACGCAGCGCATCTGATTAACATAGCAAAGGCGCCCGGAACCGTCGCACGCGCCCTAATGGGCGCGCACCCATTGTTAAAAAAAAACTGGGAGGGGACCACCACAGGCGGAGCAGCATCCCTTTGATGTAGGGACGATATAAAGGGGGTGAAAACGGGAGATCCCTGTCTTGCTCCAGCATGAGGCCACGAGACGCTCTCTAGCCCAGCGACCCGGACGTCCGTGCGACGCATCGAGGTACGCTGCGAGCACGGTATCAACGGACCGCCGTGGGCACCTAACCGTGAGTAAGAAGGTGAATTAGGATCATAAGCAGATAAATCGGGAATAGGCATAAAGGTATCAGCGTAGGCCAGCCTCGTCGATTCATACTGACTCAACAACAAGTCCCAGGTAGCAGACAATAAATCATTAATAGCTGATCGTGGCCTCGTGTGATCTCGCTGAGAAGTGTGAATGCGTGTCGTGCTGTGTATACAGCGGCTCGCCACGTGGGAGCGCTGCGCAGAGCGGCGCAAGAGTGGGTGTCGCGTGTGGAGCTGCGTGTGTGCGCGTACGTTCACTACGTAAAGGATACAGGTGCGCGATTGGTAACGTGGTTATTCGGCGTGGAGGCGAGTACTGCTCAGGGCTGTAGACGGGCATACGTATACTCGTAGCGAGTGAGTGCTGCGCGAAGCTGCGTGAGGAGGAGTATAGGGTTTGATTGATGATGCTGTGCGTACGTATGCTCGCAGCGTGGGAGCGTTGCGCAAGGCTGTAACAGTAGGGGCGTCGCGTTCGAATGCCGGCGAAACCCTAGCGGGTATTAGGGCGGTGCGGTAACGCAACCGGAATAGGGGATGCAGGCGGGGGCGACCCCGGGGGCCAACGGCCCCCACATAAACAAATAGCCGAGTGGCTAGGTGAGTTATTGAGTGAGAGAGTAGCTGAAGTATTGAGTGATTGAGTTCGTGGTTCAGTGAGTGACCGAGTGGTTGAGAAAATGAGCGAGCAAGCAAGTGGGTGAGTGGCTGAGTGAGCGGCTGAGTGCGTGGCTGAGTGAGTGGCTGAGTGAGTGAGTGATTTGCTAAGTGAGTGAGTGGTTATATTCTTAGGTTTTTTCCGGTAAAGTCACGTAGGTAAAACATTAAAATTGATAAAAGTTAAATAAAATTAAAATCACGACGTTTCGGAGGCAACACAAGCCTCCATCTTCAGGTGGAACCGTCACAGCCACGACAGCTGCATCAAGTAAATGAGAGATTACAAGAGCTACCACTCCGTATATATAATGGTTGGAGAGGGGGGAAGGGCCAAGTACGGACACAGCAGCGGATGTGAGTGTGAAAGCGATGGGTATTACCTTGTTATCTCGGCATCTCTTGAGGAAGGCCAGCGTCTCGAGAAGCTGTGACAAATATAGAATGAGTGAGTGGTTGAGTGAGCGGTTGAGTTGCTGAGTGAGTGAGTGGCCAAGTGGTTGAATGGTTGGGTAGTTGAGTGGCTGAGTAAGTGGCAGAGTGAGTAGTTGAGTGAGTGGTTGAGTGAGTGAGAGGTTGCGCGAGTGAGTGAGTGAGTGGCTGAGTGAGTGGCTGAGTGAATGAGTGACTTGAGTGATTGAGTGGCTGAATGAGTGACTGCCCGAGTGACTGCCCGAGTGAGTGCCTGAGTGGCTAAGTGAGTGAGTGATTGAGTGGCTGAGTGAGTGGCTTAGTGAGTGAGTGAGTGGTTG